TTAAAAAGGATGGGCTTCACCAATGCTTGAGAGCTAATTGGTTCCAAAGGCTTTATGATGCAAGAGAATGTAGGCTTGAGTTTTGCTAGATTAGATAATGTCATGGCAGGAGGATTAAGTCCAACGGTTTCCTTCGTAGTTGGCTGTCTGTTGCGAGAGTCAACTTCCCCATCTTCAGCAGTTACTTGCTCACCAACATTCAGGGATAGAATTCCTCCATCAATTTGGCTTGGAAATGATCCAAGTTTCTCAAAAGTGTCCGCCTAAAGAAAATCATCCAAAGCACTTATCATCTCCGCATCTCTTGGCAATGCTCTTAATTTTGGGGAGCTAAATATTTCTGAAAGAAGAAAAAAAAAAAAACAATCAATAACAAGAGAATTTTAAGATAAAAGGGAGATTTTCTTTAAAAGGTGAGGAAATGTGCTTACCTTCATACAAAACTTGATTGGTGGTTTGCGGGGCAACAGGCGTGGAAAGTGGCTATTACAAAGAGTTTGGCTCACTTTGAGGACTTCTGTTGCATTTTTGCTTCTTTGAAGATGGACTAAGGTCACTAGCATTATTTCGCTCTTGTGAGGAAGACAATAGTGCTTGAAGCTGTTTCCCCTTCCCTTGAGGTCTGATCACAATGCTCTTCATTAGGGATGAGATGAAATTTCTAGCCTCGTTAGCCTTCAAGAATTGGATGCTAACTACAGAAATTGAAGGAAAAACTTCTTCATTCCACCACTTCACATAGGCTGGGTTGACCCTAGATGCTACTCTGCCTTCAATTGAGGGGATATGAAGAAATGTGTTGCTATGCACTCAGGTTAAAGATAACCAATAGTGGTAAAGATCTAACACTTCACCACCATGAGGTAATTTGACATGCCTTCTTGGAAGTCTTTGTTGAAATCCATGCTATCTAGCAAATTGGTGAGGATTGTAAGACTTCTTAGTGAAGTGGCCTTCTTGGTGAAGCACCACATAACTTGCTCTAATGCTCACCATGAAATCCAAAGTGTTAGCCCATCGTTGCCCATCATCAACTCGAGGTCCTATATAGGCTGGTAAAGGCACTAGAGTCTAACAAAAGTTGTCTGAGGATAAATCGCCTTGTAAAACTGTACGACAATTTGCTACCTTTGGTTCCCAAGGTTGGTATGCATTCAAAACACCACGAAATTGCTGAACCATAAGCAAAGAAGCTTCATATCTGGCTGCAAAAGTCTTGTGGGGGAAATGCAAACCAATCCAGGCATATAAATAACGTCCAGGAAAAGGTTGCATGTACCCATGAACCTTTAGGCACTTTTGTCAATTGTCGAAGTCCACGGTAGATGCATGCCAAGATAGGAGGAACCAAGTTGTAAGTAACATTGATTACCATTTGGGCTGTAGCTTTGAAAGTTCCTACTTTGACAAATTCTTCCCTATCTAGAAAAACAAATTTTCTAAGCCAAACACAAAGATAAGCAGTAATCAAAAGTTTTTCTCTATCATTTACCTCCAAAGCAACATCTAACAAGCCAAGTCGATCCCATTGTTCTGGTACGCCTCCTAGTTTCCTTTCATGTCTAAATGTCCACTTCAATGGACGATCAAGTTTAGGAACTGAAATTACATTCCCATCGCCATCATACTTCAACTCAGACATATCTAGATATCGTTTGCTCTTGAGTGGATTGGCATATGGTGGGTTGCGATTATACCAAAAGTCCAGCCAATCAACATATGTTACACGATCAGAATTCTCTCTTTGGACGATCATGGAAAAGGCTTTAAATAGAAGCAAACAATAAGGTGGTAAATCCTCTGTAAGTTTTTTGTAACTTGGAACCACCTCTTCATAGTAGGCTCCTCGAATTGACAAGCTAGAAATGTCTCACATCTCTAGTAAAGAAATTCTAAGAAAAAAAATGCTACTCCATATGTTGCCTATGGAAAGGACTTGATTGGGGAAAATCACAAATTAAGTGACTAAATCACAAAATTATAGAAAGTTGGAGGACAGCAGTAAAATAAATGGGGTTCAAGGATCAGATTGCAATTTTGGCAAGAAAAAAATTTTGCATCATTCTTGAAGAAAACCCGACACGGACAATTTCATGTGCATGTTCAGAGTGTTGACACTTTCTTTACGTGTTGACCCATAAAAGTGCAGCGTTAAATAAAAAAGGGGCCTAATGGGAGCAGGCGGAGGCTTTCTGTTTATACAATACCGTGCTGGATGTCATCATCTATTTCAAGTCAAAAGTGCAGCAAGACAGCAAAGAAAAAAAAACTAAAAAAACAAAAACCTAGGCAGCCGACTGTCAAAGCAAAATTATAGCAGCATGTGAACATAAAAAATTTAAAAAAAAAAATAATAATAATAAAGAGAGAAACAGGAGAAATTGACATGCTTTTGCATCATACAAAACAGAATTTGGTATAGGTTAAAAGGACCAGCAAAAGACAACATACCTATCACTTGGATACACTTCAAGATGACTTTGCACAACAGATTACTTCCAACTTCACTGTTTGAGTGGGTGCTATCCTACATCATTAAGAAAGTGGAATTAAATAATTGTAAAGAGGCCTATATCAAGCCTATCATAGAGTCAGCAATTAGAAGATTAAAATAAGGTGCAGTGGAGGATACCCACGTTGATGCTGTAGCAATGGTGACAATGAAGAATCAAGGTGAAACTACCCCAAAATTGCTCTAAAAAGGGAAAAGGTCGAACAGCCCCAAATTAGAGAATGTCGTCGCTACCGTCGCACTGTAAAGGGGTCAAAAGACTGAAGCTCTATTCCTGAAAATGAAGGTCTACTCCTAGAGCTTTGAAGCACTATTCCTAAAAATAAAGCTCTGAAGCTCTACTCCTAAATTTGTCTCTGAGAATGAATGCTGCACGCTGAAGATGCTTTGTAATTTTGCTCTCCCAAAATCATCCATTTATAGAGCGTGAAGGCAAGGATTTGGATAAAGGCAAGTTTGAATTTTGTTTAAGTTTAAAATTTTTCAAAATTCAAGTTTTAATCTTGAAGTCTATCAGGATGAAGCAGTTCAGGTTGTTTAGGAAAATAGGAGTTTGAGTTTTGAACAAACTCACTCAAAAAAAGAAAAAAGAAAAAAGGAGAATAATAATAATAATAATGTAAGTCCGAAAATGGACTATAAAAAAAAAAAAAGAAAGAAAGAAAGAAGAGGAAGTAAGTCCGAAAATGGACTCTAAAAAATAAAAAAAATTAAAAAAAAGTCTGGCGATTGATGAAAAAGTCCATAAACGGGCTTAAAGTAAGAAAAAGGGCTCCAAATGGATTAGTCCATTAAAAAAGGGGGGCTAAAAAAAAAAACCAAAGGCCCAATCGGTGATTGACAATGTGTCATTGTCAATAGAAAAAGGTTAAATGCTAAATTTGGTCTCTCAACTTTAGTAAGTTGCACATTTTTGGTCCCTTAACAATTTTTTGCACTTTTTTGATCCCTCAACTATACGAAATGCACTCCGTTAGTCCTTTTGTTAATTTCGATCGTTAACTTGCTTATGTGGCATTTTTTATAATTTTTTTGATGACGTTGCAAAAACAAATTGAAAACATGTTAGACGTGGAATTTTTTTTTATGCCAACTCAATTATTACTATTTATATTTTTAAAAAATAAAATAAAATAATTCGTTCATCTTCTTCCTTTCTCTTTTTCTTTTTTTTCTTCCTCTTCTTTCTTCTTCTTC